CAAGTACTTTGAATACTCTAAATACTCCAAGCACTCCAAGCACTTCAAGTGATTCTATCCCAATTAGCAAAACTAAATTTATGTAGACCCAGCTAGATAAGCATAATAGTAATGATATATTGTATAATATAGAAGATCATTTTTCAAGTGATGATCAGAATTTCGCTAATGATATTTCTGAAAATGAGTTAATTAATTCTAATTCTAAGCAAAAAGGCCAAGTAGATAGAGATGATATAAATGCACAAAAAAGAATTCATAAGTTAAATGAACTTTTTTTTGATTTTTATATCATTATATTAATTATACCTTTTTTTTTTTTTTAATGATAATAAAAATAAAGCAGTTGACAAGTGCATACGGCATATTGGCAGTAGATATATAAAGTATAAAATAAATCTTACTAATGTTGTAAGCTAATTGTTCACAGAATACTGCCGACTATGAGTCTTAATAACTGCTAAGGGACGTGACAAAAATCAGGTGATTTTTTAGGGGAAGAGGAGGGTAAAAAAAGTTAAAATTATATATAAGAACCTGATTTTTTTTATATTAAGAGGGGGGAGGGGTAAGCCTCTGATAAAAAATAATCAAATGATAAATAATATTGCCCTAACTATTTATTCTCCAAAATGCCTAAGTGTTTCTCTTGTAATAAAACCTTTAAAGATCGGCAAGCATTGGGTAATCATATTAAAAAACATCTAGATGACAGTGATGACGATTTACCTTTTCCAAACCAAACAATTTCTCAAATTTCACCCAAAAAAACAACCAAAGTTAATGATAAAAGCATATCCAGAAGACAAAATGTAATTGAAGAAACTAAAATAAATGATATTTCGGAGAAGGATAACTTGAATATTGATGAGTTTAATAAAAGACTAAATCTTGATATTTCACTTGTCAATCATACAAATTCCTCTCAAAGTCATGATGAATCTATTGAAGAACAGAATGCTAAATTTTTTAATACAAGTGATTTCTACAGTAGCAACACATTTGATAATAAATTCAGAGTATCTGATTCAAGTACTTCTCATAGCAGCAACATATCTGATAATGAATCCACAGTATCTGATTTATCAGACATAACAAATATCGATATTAATGAATATGCTGAATATAATAATTTAATTTCTGGAAAACCAAAAGGTCCTGAAGATATATATCAAGAATTTCTGTCAGAAGAACATGCAGAATTTATGAACATAATAACACATTTTCATGTACAAGATTTACTTGCAAATGCATTTATAAGGTTCTTTAACAAATATTCAAATCATAATGATTATCTTTTACTATTGACGTCGCAAACTGGACAGGTGTTCATTGAAAATCTTAACCTTCCAAATTTTGGTTAGAGAAAAGAAATTATTTTTAAGTACAAAGGGTTAGAATATATACTAGAGTTTAGAACAGTACTTGATGGAATTCATCAAATATTATTAAATAGGAGTATCACTGAAGAGTTTATATTCAAATATAAGTCATCTAAAGATAATATAAATAATATTAAACATAATAATAATATGATAGGGAAAACCTGTGATGGAAACTCACGAAAGTTGCTCATTATTGATACAGATCACTATTTAAAATAGTAACTAACCTATTACTAACTCTAATTAAATAAGATCTGCATCACCAATATAACTACCTTTGTCGTGGATTTCACACTTTTATATAACAATAATAGGTAAATATTAATTTAATTTTATAATTAAAGATATCCGGTGAGCGTTAATGCTTCGATATGTATGATTCTGACTGGTGGAAAAATGTAGAGCAAAATCTTCTAATTGAAGCTCATGTAATGCCAATAATTCTTTATTCAGACACTATCCTTTGTGATCATTTAGGCAAGACGTTAAGGCATCCTGTGTTTATAATACTTGAAAATATTCCTTTGGCTCACCACAACAAGATTGATGCAAAAATTTTACTTGGATACATTCCAACTCTCAAGTATCATCATCACAAAGTTAAAAAATATTTAGCTTATATCTATCTAATGCTATTATTAAATAGGTATTTATATATTATATTTTTTAAATATTTGGTATTCTATAAATACTTATTAATATTTATTATAAGTATTTATTAATTATTATAATTTAATATAAAATAAATATTAATTTTAAATATTTTATAAATACTTATTTAATTTATATTAAAAAATCATTTTAATTTAATATAAATTAAATATTAGAATAATTAATATTAAATAAACAATTAATTTTAATATTTATTAAATACTATAATAATTAATATTAAATAATTAATTAATTTTAATACTTATTATATACATATAATAATTTTGATTTTTTTATTGAGTTAGTATTTTATTTACTTAGTATTTTCAATTTTAAAATTGCTAATATCTCAAAATTTTGACTAAGTAACACCTCTTGTGTAATATAAGCAAAAATATTTCTCTTGCAATTTTATCTTATCTAAATTTTAATATTAACTTTAATTTTAACTTTAATCTAATTTAATATATATTACAATTTTAATTTTGCTATAAAGATATTGAGCGTAAGAAGTTACTATTTAAATGCTTCTTTATTGGAAGTACTTGTTAAGTACTTATTTTATTTTTTTTTTTTTTTAAGGTGAGATTTTGTCTTTATCTTTATTTAATAATTTGTATTGAGAATCCACTAGGGGTTTTTCTAGTCTATAAAACCAATAATTACAAATATTTTACAAGAATGAGACTCAGACTATAGATATTTAACTATCTAATTTATCT